CCCCCATGACTGAGCCTGTGTCCCTTATAAATTGAGCACTGACTGCATGGTGCACCTGGACCTGGGGCTGGGGGTTACTGAGACTGGGGTCTTGGGGGGTCTCAGTTGTCCCAGGGAGTCCCAATCCACCCTGAATCCTCATAACTGAGCCCATGCCCCTCAAACCTGAGCACTGGCCACTGGGTGCAGCTGGACCTGGGGATGTCCGACAAGTTTAGGGTGCTGGGGTTAGGGTCCCAGGGGTTCCAGGTCCCAGGGGCTCCAGAACAATCCCCTAACAGCCATGGCGCCCCTCCCGTGCCCCCAGAACTCGAGCGCTGACCACCGGGTGCAGCTGGACCTGGGGCTCTGGGACAAATTCAGTGAATTGGCCACCAAGTGCATCATCAAGATCGTGGAGTTTGCCAAGAGGCTCCCAGGCTTCACGGGGCTCAGCATGGCCGACCAGATCACTCTGCTCAAGGCTGCCTGCCTCGACATCCTGGTGAGGGTTGGGGGGGCTCCTCAGGATGTTTGGGGGCTCATTGAAGGGGCTTGGAATGGCCCACGATGGTCCTGACCTCACCACCCCACAGATGGATGTCCTGAGACGGGCTGGGAGGTCTCCTGGCAGGGCCTGGGTGGGTTTGGGGATCCCCATGGTAAGAAACTTTGGGGTCTCTTAGGTGCTTTTGGTGACCTTGGGCTATTTTGGGGTGTCTCTGGCCCTGACCTCGTGCTGGTGCTGTGTCTGTCCTGTGGCAGAGCCAGAGCAGTACATGACAATGTTCCAGGATGGGCAGATCCTGGGTGGATTTTGGGGTCCCTGCCCTGCGGATGCTGTGGATTTGCACCTGCTTCATTCCAGAGCAGGACAGTGATGGGATAGGCTGACCCTGGGTGGGTTTTTGGTGCCCCTGGAGGTATTTTTGGGCCCTTCTGTGGATTTTTGGTATCTCTGTGTGGATTCTATTGCCCTTGGGTGATTTTGGTGACCATGGATGGATTTTTGGTGTTCCTGGATGTATTCTGGTGCCCCTTGGTGATTTTGGGGTCCCTGCCCTACAGATGCTGCGGATCTGCACCCGCTACACACCAGAGCAGGACACAATGACGTTCTCAGATGGGCTGACACTGACCCGGACCCAGATGCACAACGCGGGATTCGGGCCCCTCACTGACCTCGTGTTTGCCTTCGCAGGGCAGCTGCTGCCACTGCAGCTCGATGACACCGAGACCGGCCTGCTCAGTGCCATCTGCCTCATCTGTGGGGGTGGGGACATGGAGGCCATCGGGGGATGTGGCGGACAGAGGACTGTCCAGTGCCAGGGTGGGGACATGGGGGTGTATCAGGGCTGTGGCAGGCAGGGGGACATGGGACTGAGTTGTGGCCACTCGGCTGCAGTGAGGGGACACGAGGGGATGCTGAAGGGGGGGACATAGGGATATATCTAGGACAGAAGATGGGCATGTGGGAACATAGGGACTCAGGGACAGGGGAAATGGGGACAATGTCTATCCAGGTGGTCTCTCTCTCCCCAGACCGGATGGAGCTGGAGCAGCCCCGGCTCGTGGAGCGGCTGCAGGAGCCGCTGCTCGAGGCTCTCCGGGTCTATGCCCGGCGCCGGTGCCCGTGGCAGCCACAGCGTTTCCCCCAGATGCTGCTCAAAATCACTGACCTGCGTGGCATCAGCACCAAGGGTGAGCAACCCCCAGGTCCCCAGGGCCCACCCCAAACTGTGTCAACCCTGCCAGGACCCCAGAACCCCCCAAACCCCCTTGGGATCCCCCCAAAACCCCCTAGCCACAGTGATCTTCCCAAATGCTGTTCAAAGTCACCACCAAAAAGGGCAACCCCCAAACCTTCCCAGGACTCCTCCAGGATGCCAAAACCCATCAGGACACCCCCAAACCTGCCCCTGGCACCACAGGTTTTGAAGGTCTCAGGGAGGTGTAGTTGAAGGTCCTGGGGGTGTTTCAGGGTTTTGGGGGGAGGGGGTTTGAAACTCATTTTGAGGGTGTTCAAGGTATGTGGGGAGGTTCAAGGTTTTGAAGGCGTTGAAGCTTTTGCAGGGTTTTGAAAACTGGGGACTGTTGAAATTTGTGAGGGCAATTGAAGATCATTTTTGGGTGGGATTCAAAGCCTCCATGGGGGGGGAAACTCAATCTCTTGTGGGGGCTGTCAAGGCTTTGCAGTGATTGAAGCTCATTTTGGTGGTGTTCAAGTCTTGGAGGGGTCCAAGGTTTTGGGGCATCAGAGTTTTGCAGGGGGTTGAAATTTGAGAGGCTGTTGAATCTTTTGTGGAAGAGGGTTCCATCTCTCAGGAGGGGTCCAAGGCCCTGAGGGTGGCCCGAGTTCAGGGGTGTTGACATTTTGGCTCCCCCAGGGGCGGAACGAGCCATCACCTTGCGCACGGAGATCCCGGGGCCGATGCCTCCCCTGATCCGGGAAATGCTGGAAAACCCCGAAATCTTCAACGAAGTGGGGGAGGATGGCCCTCCCCCACCCCCAGACCCTCCTGCCGCCCAGGACAGTCCCCCTGGCCCCCCCACATCCCCATAGCTGGGGGATCCCCAAAACCCATCCCCAGTGGGGTGGGACATTCAGAGCTGCCTTCCAGGGATGCTGCCTTCCTTCTCCCTTTTGCTCTGGGGAGGGAGAGCTCCCCAAAGTGCCCCCCCCCCACCCCCCGAATTTGGGGAAGGGGGCAGAGACTGACAGAGCAAAGCTATTGCCTTAAGCTGGGGGAGTCTGGGGGCGCCCCCAAACCTCAGCTTCACGCCAAAGCCTCCTCAGACCCTGCTGCCAACCACTCTTGTACTGGGGGGCCTTGAAAGGGGAGAGTTGGGGACCCCAGCCCCTCCCCACCAAATTAATGTCTGACACTCCCACGGTGCCCCCACAGTTTATTTATTTGACACAGGGTGGAGTCGGAGGGGGGCACACCCCCATTCTCCCCCAGGACATCCTACCCCCCAAATGTGGGGAGGACACCATTTATACAGGGGGGAGGGTGGGGGGGCTGCCTGTGGGTTTTGATTTTTGATGCTGTTGGGTTGGGGAGGGAAACCCTGAAATTGCTGTCCCCCAGTGCTCCCCCCAAACACTACAGAGACCAAAGATGGGGGACACAATGTGACCTCCGCAACCCCCTCCATTTCAGGGTGGGGGCTCAAGCCATAGGGTGACCCCAAAATCCTGGAGGTCCCCCCAGACTCAACTGCCCTCCCAAATCTCTGTTACCACCAGCCTGGCTGGCTTGTAGGGTCCAGCCTTATTGGCCTCCCTAACAATTGCCCCCCTTACATTTGCCCCCCCGAATTTGGGGGTGCAGAGCCCTCAGGGGGAGCCTGTTACACTACACAGAGGGGTACCCCCCCAGGGCTGCACTTTCATCCCTATTTATTCCTCTGCGTTTACAGCGGGCCCCCCCTCAGAATGGGCCCCCCCCCCGCTGCTGTCCCCCCGCTAACTCCCCCTGTTTTGGGGGGCCCCCCTGCCATGTTTACAGCCCACCCGCCCTCCTCCCGTGCTGGGTGGGGGGACACGGGACTTTTCTATTTTTTGCAAAATAAAGTTATGGAAATTTTGGGGGGGGTTATGAATTTTGGGGGGGGGCTGTAAAGGGGACTTGTGGATAGAGGGGAACCTTGGGACCCCCCCGAGGTACGGGGTGGTGGGGGGCACATAGGATCCCCTCTGACTTAGGGATCCCTGCAGGGAGAAAAGGGACTACTTGGGGATCCTTCCCCAATTGGGGTGACACCCCAGAATAAGAGGGGCACTTGGGGACCCCCCAGCGATTTTGCCCCTCCCCAGTTAAAAAACCCTCATAGTCGCAGTGTAATGTCCCCTTACTTTGTTTGGCATGAGTGAGTTCTGGGGTCCCCCCTCACTCCCCCAAAGGACTTAAACTTGGGGTTAAAAAAAGCAAAAACCCAAATTTTTATTTAAATAAACCCTAAAGGAGAAGGGAAGACACACAGTGCGGGGGGAGGGGGGGGGAAGACACTGGGGGTACACAGTGGAAAGGGGGAACACAAAATTTGGGGACCCTTAGAAAAATCTACAGTTTAAAAGTGACCCCCCCCCCCACCCCCCTAGGGCTGCATCCCTCTTCCCCCCATTAGCAAAATAACTGTATTAAACCCTAAATCCCAATAAAACACCCCGAAAATAAAGCCTGGGGGGTGTAATGGGGGCTGGGAGCCCTTGCAGGTGGGGGGCCCTGGAGTTCCCCCCCCCCTTCCCCCAAGAATCCCCCAACCCCCCTCCCTCCCCACTGCCAGGCCCCACAAATTTGGGGGAATAGGCTCAGCAGAGCCAAAGTCCTTCTTGAAGTGTCATTGGGGGAGGCTCCAAATTTGGGCCCTTCCCAAAACTCCCACAGGCCCAGAAAGGGAGTTCAGGGCACAAAAATGAGGGGGGTGAAACTCATCTCTCCTGCCCCTTGGAGCAGTCTGTGATGGGGGGACAGGGACACCCCCAAAATGGTGAGAGCAGGGGCCCACCTCGCAGTTTTTGGGGGCTGCTCCTGCCCCTGTTACCTCACCCCTGATCCAGGGGTCTTCCTTTCCCTGGGGGGAAAAGGGAAACTGGGGGGGCCTCTTGCCCCCCCTTCCTTCCCCCCCACCTAGGGCACAGAACCACCTAGCATGGGGGGACATAGGCAGCACCCCAAAACTATGCAGAAGGAGAAATCCTCCAAAATCTGAAGGAGTTCCAGAGGAAATGGGAAGTGCTGCTGAGTGTCCCACAGGATGCTCTGCTCAAGGAGGGGCCCCCAAATTCTTTTTCCTACTTTCCAAAAAACCCAACCCCTCAAGCTGAGGCACCCCCCAACATCTTCAGTTTTCCTCCTTTTCCAGAAGAGAGTGATTGATCCTGTTCCCAGTGGGACCCTCCTACCTGTGCACAGGTATCCCAGATCCACCGGGATTTCAGGCAGTTTGGGGGTTCCCAGTTTTTCCTAGGAGGGGGAGGGGTGGATTCAGGGGTATAATGATGGTGGGGAGGCCACTTGAAGATTCCAGGAGGATTTTTGGGATCATAATCCAAGTTTTTAGGCCAGAGGGCAGGAACGATCTGAGTTTTTTCATGTTGGCAGCGCTCAGGTTCTTCCCCATCCTTACAGGGGTGAGAAATCCAGGTGAGGCAGAGCATGATGATGTGGGGGGGGGGGTGAAGGAAGAAACACCTCCCTCCCGCACCCCCTGAACTTCCCGGTATTCCCAGATGTTCACAGCAGGAGCTGGGAGTCGGGAGGGGTCTTGGTCTGGCAGCCTTGGCACATGCGCTTGTGTCGAAGCAGCCGGTCCGTGCGGGAGAAGCTCTGCGGGGACGAGGCGGGGTCAGGCGTGGGGGCGGCACTGTGACTCCCACGGGTGCCCGCCCGGAATTCTCCCGGAATACCGAATACCTGCATGCAGCGCTCGCACTGGTAGGGCTTCTCCCCGCTGTGCACGCGCTTGTGCCGCTCCAGGTGGTACTTCTGGATGAAGCGCATGTCGCACATGTCACACTCAAACGGCTTCTCCCCTGGAATTCCGGGCAACAATTAGCGAGGGAGGGAGCGAGGGGCCGAGCTGCTCATTAACGAGGGCTCATTGCGGGTGGAGCAGGGGGGTGGGGGGCTGCTCATTAACGAGGGCTCATTACCGGTGTGGATGAGGATGTGCCGTTTGAGGTGGTAGCTGCTCCGGAAAGCACCAAAACAATGGTCGCAGATGAAGTTCTTGAGCTGGAAGGAGCCGTTTTGCTCAATCACCACCATCTGAAATGGGGAGGATTTGGAGGTTCAGAGCCGGGGGGACCCCCAGCAGCCCCCCAAATCCCCCCCCGGCCGTCCTGCGCCTGCCGGAGTTTGGGAGATTGTCTTCCTCCTCCTTCTCCTCGTGCGGCGCGGCGGCAAACCTGGGATCCTCGGCGGGAGGAGCTCGGGGGTCCCTCGGCGCCGGGAACCCGCTTGCGGCGCTGCCGGGGGGGCGAGGGGGTGTCAGAGGCCCCCAAGACGGCCCCCGACCCCCCCCAGACCCCAAAATCGAGGGGGGACCCTCTGCTGGGGGAGGGGACCTGCCTTTTTCATGGATTTCTTGGGGTTGGAGGCCTCAGGAGCATCATCGTCCTTGCGGGCACGGGGCTTGTCGGGATCCTGGCGGTGGGACTGGGGGGCACAGGAATTGGGATGGGGTTGTAGAGGGGGGGGTTTGGGGGGCACAAATTGGGAGGGGTTGGGAACAGGGCAGGAATTGGGATGGGGGGATTGTGGGACCAAGAATTGGAGGGAGGGGTTTGGGAAGGGGTGATTGGGGGGCAAGAATTGGGATGGGGGGATGGGGGCAGGGATTGAGGGGGTTTGGGAAGGGGGAAGGAAATGGGGGGCAATTGGGAAGGAGAGATTGAGAGGCCAGGAATTGAGAGGGATTAGGAAGGGGGAAGGAATTGGGGGGGAGGGATTGGGAAGGGGGGATTGGGCAAGCAGGCAGGTTGGGGGAACAGGAATTAGGGGGCAGGAATTGGGGGGGGTGGGGATTAGGGAGGGTAAACCAGGGCAGGAAATTGAGGAGGGGGGTTCAGGATGAGCAGGGAATGGGGAGGTTGGAGGATGATGGAATTGAAGTGGAAACAATGGAATTAGAGCAGGAAAATCCAAGGCAAAAAAGAACCAATAAAAGAGGAAAAATCCAAATGAAGGAGGAAAAGTCCAATAAAAGAAAGCAAAGGGCACGTAAAGGAAAGATAATCAAGTAAGGGCCAGAAATGGGAAATTAAAGGACAAAAGCAAAAAAAAGTCAAATGAGAAGTGAGAAACTGAAACTAAAGCAGGAAAACTAGAGGAGGAAAAAATCAAATAAAGGCAGGAAAAAGAAGTGGGAAGGGTCAAACAAAATATAGAAAAGGATGACTAAAGGGAGAAAAACTCAAATTCAAGGAGAAAAAATTCAAATCCAAGGAGGAAGAGGCAAATTAAAGGTGGAAAATGGCAAATCTGGGGCAGAATAGCCCAAATTAAAGCAGGAAAAAAATTAGTTGAAAACACCCAAATACAAGCTAGAAAAAAAGAAATTCAATGTAGAAAAAGCAAATTAAAGGTGGAAACCCCCAATGTAAGTGTGGAAGTACCCAAATTAAAGCAGGAAACCCCCAAATTAAAGGTGGGAGAAGCCAAACTAAAGCCATAAACCCCCAAATTAAAGGGCAAAATCCCCCAGTTAAAGGTGGGATCCCCCAGTGGAAGGTGCCAGATCCCAGCCAGGGCTTCCCACTCCATACCAGGAGGTCAGGGCTGGAGCCCCGTTCCCGGTTCCCGTCCTGTTTCCCGCTGGATTTGGGCATCATCTTCTTGCTGGCAACGGTGGGGACAAGGCAGACGCCCGAGAGCCCCTCGCAGGCCAGGAGACTCGCCTGGAAACAGGGAGGGACCCCCAGGATCAGCCCCACAGCCCAGGAACACCGGGGTGCACCCTGGAGGGGCTGTGGGCCAGCAGCCCCCTGCTCCTGGGCCCTGAGGGGAGGTTCGGGAAGATCTCAAGGGAAATTTGGGATGATCCTGGGGAAACTGGGGATGATGTCAGGGGAAATTTGGGATGATCCCAGAATAATTCTGGGAAGACACCAAAGTGGAACAGAGGGGGGTGAACCCTCTTCTTTCAGCCCAATGAGGGTTTAAGGTCAAATGGAAAAATTCAAGGGAATTGTACAGCAACTTTGGGATAATCCTGTGGAAAAACAGGATAAATCCATTGCAAAATGGGAAGACCCCAAAACTTGGAATGGAGGAGGTTGATCCCCCTTTTTTGAGGCCTGCTGGGACCTAAGAGTTAATGGGAAATTAGGGAATAATCCCAGGAAAAAAAAAAAAAAGGGGAATTATGGGGAAAATTTGGGATAATTCCTGGATAACTCTCTTAGAAGCCCTAAAGAACGAGGGTTTAGAGGGGACTGAAGCCTAAATTTGAGGCCTGACAGGACCTAAAGGCTACTGGGGAAATCTGGGGAATCCTGCAGAAAACTGGGACAATCACAAGGAAAATTCAGAATAAATGTGAGAAAATTTTGGGAGAATACCAGGGAAAACTGGGATAATCCTGGGGTAACTCTGGGAAGACTCCAGGTGAGTTTGGGGTTGGAAAAACTTCTTCCAGCCCAGAGAGGATCTAATGGATAACGAGAAATTTCAAGATAATCCTGGGGAAAATTTGGATTATCCTAGAGAAAACTGGGACAATTCCAGCGGAAACTGGGAGAATTCAGGAATAACTCTGGAAAACCCCTGAAAGTGGGGAGGGGAAAGAGGGGGAGGCAAAGACACCCCCAAACTGTCTACTGAACTACTGACCTGTCTTTATTGGGGCCCTAAAGGCTACCAGGGAAATTTGGGAAGTCCTGGGGAAAACTGGGATAATCAGGGGAAAAATTTGGGGTAATACTGTGGAAAGTTTGGGAAGACTCCACGTGTGGAGGGGCAACTTGAACCTCCTTTTCTGAGGCCTCATCAGCCCTCAGGGCTAAGGGGAAAATCAGGAGAATCTTGAGGAAAACGGGGATAATGCAGTGATAACCCCTGGAGCAGGATGGGGATGGGGAGGCACCCCCCACCCTGGCGCAGGGGGAGGGAAGCTCCAGCTCTCTCCCTTCTTCTTTCCCTTTCCCCATATTTTTGGGGCTGTTGTTCCCCAAAATTCCTGGGCCTGGGGGTGTCACGATGCAGGAGGTGGGGGCTCATTACCTGAGCCATGCTGTGGGAGCCTTTGGCCTTACTTCTCGCCCAGGTAAAGCTCGTTTGGGGTAAGAAAAGGTGGGATCAGTAAATTTTTATGGATTTTTGGGCGGGCTCCAGTACCCGCCACGGCGCCGCCATTCCTTCTCCTCCTCCTCTTCCTCCTCCCGAGGGGGCCACTGGGGCAGGAAGGGGGGGAGGCAGGGCCGGGCTCCCCCCAAAAGCCGGGACCCCCCGAGCTGGGTGGGTGCTGGATCTGCGGGGACGGAGCTGAACCCAGAGGGATTCGCCTGGGGGAACAGTGGGAAAATGGGGTCAGAGGGGGCCAGAGGGGTCAGAGGAGCCCAGAGAGGGTCAAAGGGAAGAACCTCGGGGTGGGGACCAGGGGGGCAACAGCGGCACCCCACGAGTAATGTGGGGAGGTGTCCCAGGACAGGATGGCACTGGGGGGGAAATTCCTGGAACAGGTGTCCCAGGGCAAGGGGGAAAAAGGGGGCCCCAGGGGTGGGTGACTGTGGGGAGGGGGAGGTGGGGGCGATTCTGGGGGCTCCCGAGGGTGTCTGTAACCTGCGGGGGCCGGAGGGGGCGGGGGGTGGCACAGGAGGGACCACCAAGGCGAAGGGTCTGGGGGGGGTCACAGCCCGGGGTGAGCGGGGAGGGCACGGAGGGGACGGGACACACCGGGGAGACCCCAGGGAGCGCGGGGGGAGATCCCGGGGGCAGTGTCCCGGGGAGGGGTCACACCGGGGAAAGGCCTGGGGAGGGGCACGTCGGGAGGGGTCACACCGGGGATCGGGGCCGCCTCTCTTGTTAGGGGCCCGCTCCCCTCCCACCATACCCCGTGGGAGCGGCCCCTGCTGCCGGGCGGGGTCCGGGCGGCCCTGAGGCTGCCGGCGGGTGCCGGGGGGTGTGGCGGGAGTTTCGGGGGGGGGGGTCGGTCCGTACCTGCCGCGGCCCCTCCGCGCTCCGACCGCCCGAGCCGGGCCCCGCCGCCCCCCCGCCGCCGCCACCCGGAACCGGAAACCCCCGCCCCCGCTTCCGGGGCCGCGGGCCGCCGGGCGGAAGTGAAGCTGTCTTGCGCATGCGCAGAGTGGTGGCGGGACGGCGAGCGCCGCGCCGCCATAGTGGGGTGGGGAAGTTGCCATGGCAACGGCGAGGCCTGCACCCCTCCGAGAGCCCCCGGCCGTCCCTGACCCACCCCCGGGGGAGGGTCCCTCCCCTCGATCCCCCCTGACTCACCGCCATTGGGACCCACTACGGCCTGACCCCACCCCCGAACCCCCCCGTCGCCCCGGGAGCGGGACCGACACCCTGCCGCGGCGGCCCCCTCCGCTGCCCCCACTCGCGACACACCCTTGGGGACCTCTGCTACAACTGCCCTTTGAGCTCCCCCCTCACTCTGACCCCTTCCTTTGAGGTCGCCCCTGTGACCCCATTTGGGGGCCGGTCCGCCCCTCTCCTCTTCCCCCGATTATTGTCCTCCCCACCCCCCAGCAAGCACGGGCCCTCCCCGCGGTATCTCGGAATTGAGGGGGGTACTGGAAATGGGGCACTGGGACTGGGGGATACACTGGGAGTGAAGGGCACTGGGAATGGGTGTGGGGACACAGGGGACAAGGGGGACACCAAACACTGGTGGGGGGACACACTGGGAATAATGGGGGGGACACTAGGGATGGGAGGACATATGAGGTCACCACTCTTCCCACAGATCTGGGGACATAGTCCTAACCCTGCCCCCTGCCCCCAGAACCCTCTAGGGCTCCTTCCTGAGTCCGGGACTTTGCTCCTTGACCCTTGGCGACGTGACCAGAGGAAAATTCCATCCTGGGGAGGGAAGAGGGAGAAGCCGGGAGAGCCTGATCCAGGAGAGCCTGATCCCAGGAAAAGTTTCTCCTGGGAGCACCTAATTCTGGGATCACCTGGTCCCAGGATCACCTAATCCCAGGAGAAGCTGGTCCTGGCAGCACCTGATCCTGGAAAATTCCAGCTGGCAGAGGTGAGAGGAGAGGTGAGTCCAGAGAGCCTGATGCCTGGAAAAACCCATCCTGGGAACACCTAATTTTGCAATCATCTTGTCCCAGAACTACCTCATTCCAGAAGAACATCATTCTGGAATCACTTTATCCCAGGAGAATTTCATCCTGAGAGAGCCTTATTTCAGGAGCACCTCATCCCCGGAAGAAGTTCAGCTTGGGATCACCTTATCCCAGAAGATCCTTGTCCTGGTATCACTTTATCCCAGAATTATCTCCTAGGAGAAGCTCCTCCTGGGATTCCTCATCCTGCCACCTGCTACCAATCCCAGGCCCGGGGTCCCTCCTGGCGCATTTTGGGCTCTCCCTGTGTTCTCCTGCCATGGCTGAGCCCTCTGGGGCTGGGTACAGCATCCCATTGGATGATCCTGGCCTGGACATCGCTGCTGGGGAGGAATTCTTGCAGGAAGTGTTCCAGATCCTGCTGGAGGAGGGCGTGCGGAAGAGCACGGATGTGACACAGAAGGTTGGGGCACTGGAGCACTCGGGAGGGTGGGGGTCCTCAGTCCCATCCCATTCCTGTTTCTAGTCCCATTCTCAATCCCAATCCCTTTGCCATCCCCACAGGTATGTGATTGGAAGGAGCCCCCTTGGAGGGGGTGGGGTCCCCAATCTGTCCCTATTGCCTGTCCTATTCCCAGGCACTCCCTATCCCCGTCTCAATCCCATTCTCATTCCCAGTCATTCCCAGATGTGTGACTGGAAGCAGACATGGAAGGGGGTGGGGGTCACAATATTCCTCTTTTCCCAGTCCTATTCCCATTCTGAAACCCAGTTCCTGTTCCATTCCCAATTGTGTTCCTAATACAAGTCCCACTTCAGTCCTGTTCCACTAGCTAGTCCCATTCCCAATCCTTTTCTCAGTCCCATTTCCTGTCCTGTTCCCATTCCAAGTCCCCTTCCCAATCTTACACTTGGAAAAGGATTGGGAGTGGGACTGGGGTTGGGAGTGAGAGTAAGTCCCAGTTGCAGTCCCATTCTCATTTCCAGTCTTGTTCCCAATCTTGTTTCCATTTCCAGTCCCGTTTGCAATCCCACTTCCAGCCCCATTCTCATTCCCATTCCCCACTCTGTTCACAGTTCCAGTGCCAAGCCCATACCCATTCTGGTTCCTGGTTCCAGCCCCAGTCCCATTCCCAGTCTTGTTTCCATTCCCAGTCCCATTCTCAACGTCATTCCCAGCCCATTCCCTCTGCGGTTCCCAGTCCCTCCCAGTCATTCCCAGCGCATTCCCAGGTGTGTGACTGGAAGGAGCCGCAGGAGCTGCGGGAGCTGCTGGATCTGGAGCTGCGGAACGACGGCGAGGGGCGAGAGCAGCTCCTGCAGCGCTGCCGGGACGTGCTGCGCTTCAGCGTCCGCACTGGTGCGCTCCCAGTACACACCAGTGCACACCAGTACCCATGAGTACAGCCCCAGGGCAGGCTCCTCCTCCGTTTGGCATGGCACCTCCCACATCCTGGTTCGGCCCCAGCGGTTCCCAGTGTGGCCCCTGGTGCCTCCCAGTGTTGAACATTGTGGCCCCTGCCATGTTCCCCTCCATGTCCCCCCAATATTCTGTGTCTCCCTTGACTGCCCCTGTGCCCCCCCATTTCCCTCTGCATCCACTCCCTCACCCCACCATGTACCCCCAATCACCCATGTCCCTCCATGTCCCTTCCGTTCCCTCCCTACCCACCCCTGATCCTTCATGTCCCCTGATCCTCCATGTCCCTCTTGTGTTCTCACGCAATTCCCCTATATCCCCCCCTGCCCTCAGTTTTCCCATTTCCTCCCAAACCCCCATTCTGCTCTCCATGTCCTCCTCCTGTCCCAGTCTCCTTATGACCCCACCATGTCCCCACTGAACCTCCCAAATTCTTCCCTTATCTTCCTGTGTTCCACCTCCCATGTGCCATCCTCAGCCCTCTCATGTTCCCCCCATTTCCCCCATCCCCTCCCCTATGTCTGTCCCCTCCCATGTCCTCCCCTGACCACCCTATGTCCCCCCCCCCCCGCACCGTTTTCCCCCAGGTCACCCCCGGTTCTTCAACCAGCTTTTCTCGGGGCTGGACCACCACGCTCTGGCTGGCCGGTTCCTCACCGAGACCCTCAACACGAGCCCGTGAGCCCCCGACACCCCCAATTGGGGGCTGGTGGGTGGGGGGATCCCCCAACCTGCCATGACCCTTCTCTCTCCCAGATCTACCTTTGAAGAGCCCCTGGTGCTGATGGAGTGGGAGGTGCTGAGGGGAGGATGAAGTTTGGAGGGAGGGTTTTGGGCGTGTTGAGGAGCCCAAATGAGAAAGGACCTGCCAAAACCCTGTTCTGACTCCTCTGATCTAGCCCCCAGTGTTGGTTGTGATGGAGGGGGGGTTCTGCTGGTGGGGGAAGGGTTTTGGGTGCTGAGTGGGGAGGGTTTTGGGGTCCTGAGGCTCCGGGGGAAGGCGTTTGGGGTTCTGATGTTTCAGGGGGAGGGGAACCTGTGACTCCTGCTGGTCTCTTCCAGGTACACATACGAAATGGCCCCAGTGCTGGTGCTGATGGAGGAACAGGTCCTGGCCAAGCTCCGGGAGCTCGTGGGATGGAGCAGCGGTGATGGGATCTTCGCTCCCGGTATCCTGGACCCTTCCTGAGGGTCATCCCTGGCCCCCCTCTCCCCCTGGCAGCCTGTCCATGGTGCCCTGGGGTGAAACAGAGGTCCCTGTCCTGGGCAGGGGGCTCTATATCCAACATGTTGGCCATGAACGTGGCGCGATTCCGGCGTTTCCCGGAGAGCCGGAGCAGAGGGAACTGGGACCTTCCTCGCCTGGGCCTCTTTGCATCCCAAGAGGTGGGAGTGGGGGCTTGAGTTCACCCCAAAACCTGATCCTCAGGGTCATCCCAGTTTGGATCCATGAGGTCACTTCAAAACTAGTCCCTGGTGTCATTCCAAACCTGGTCCTGGCATCACCCCAAAACCTGATCTGTAGGGTCATCCCAATTCTGATCCATGGGGTCATTCCAAACCTTATTCCTGGGGTCACCCAAAACCTGATCCCTGTGGTCATCCCAAGTGTGTCCCCCTGAGATCACACGGAACCTGATCCCCTCAGTCACTCCAAATCTGATTCCTGGGATCTCCACTAAACCTGATCCAGAGGGTCACCTAGAGTCATCTCAAAACCTGATCCTGGTGTCACCCCGAAGCTAATCCTTGGAGATTGCCCTAAACCTGATCCATGGGGTCACCCCAAAACCTAGTCACTGAGGTAACCCTAAGTCTGGTCCCTGAGGTTACCCAAAATCTGGTTCCTGGGGTCTCCACAATCCCAGTCCTGTTTTCCTGCCCAGAGCCATTACTCCATCCTAAAAGGGGCTGCTCTCCTGGGAATTGGCACAGACAATGTTCACCTGGTGCGAACAGACAAGAGGTGGGTGCTGGGAGGTCCCACGGGACCCCAGGTCAGGGGGTTCCTCCATATCTCCATCCTTGTCCCTTTCCCTCAGGGGGAAGATGATCCCTGAAGAGCTGGAGAAGGAGATCCAGAGGGTGAAAGCTGAGGTCAGGACAGGCTGCACCCCCATGTCCCCAAAGCCCCTCAAACTCCCCAATGCCTCCCCGGTATTTCCAATGTTCCCAAAGCTCCCTCAAAGTCCATGTGTCCCACTCTAAGTCCCCAAAGCCTCTCCAGTGTTCCCAAAGCACTTCCCATATCCACAAAACCTTCCATGTCCCCCAATGTCCTCCCAATGTCTCCTCAAATCTCCCCAGTGTTCCCCCAAATAAACTGAATCTCCCCCAATGCCCGCCCACCCCCCAACTGTCCCTTCAACTCTCCAATGCAAGCAATGTCCCCTGTCCTCTCCAGGCCTCCTGTCTCCCCTTAAAGTCAGTCCCCTGTCTGACCCAAAGTCCTCTGTACCTCATTTCCTGCACCCACAATGTCTCCATGTATCCTCCAGCCCCCCAATCTGCCTCCTGAGCCCCCTCAAAGTTCCCCCAAATGCCCACCCAGGGCTCAAAGCCCCTTCTTTTCTGTGCCACTGTCCTGGCCACCTTCAACCCTCTGTGTCCCCCTGCCCCCTATTTCCCAAATCCCTCCAAGCATTCCTTGATCAACCCAAACCCCTGCAGATCCCCTCCAAATTGCCCCCAAAGCTTGCCCAAGTGCTCCTTCAGTACTCAGAGCCCCTTCTTTTCCTGTGCCACCATCCTGGGCACCTTCAACCCTCTGTGTGTCCCTGTCCTCCATCCCCCAAATCCCCCTCAAGGCTCCCCAGGCCCCCCCCAAGCCCCCTCAGATCCTCTGCAAATCCCCTTGAAACCCCCCCAGACTCCCCTCCAACCCCTCCCAGAGCTCCTCCAAGTGCCCCCCACCCAAGATTTTGAGCCCCTTTTTGTCTCTGCCACCGTCCTGGCCACCTTTGACTCCCTGTGCCCCCCTGCCTTCTACCCCCTTCCATGCCCCCTCCACCCCCCAATACCCCCAGACCCCTCCCTAATTCCCACCAGGGCTCAGAGCCCCTCTTCGTGTGTGCCACGAGTGGCACCACTGTCCTGGGTGCCTTCGACCCACTGGACGCCATCGCCGACATCTGTGCCCACCACGGGCTGTGGCTACATGTGGACGTGAGTCTGGGGGGCCCCTGGCTGGGGGGGAACTCAGGGGTCCCCCCGTGTGTGCTGATCCCCCTTTTTCTGCAGGCAGCATGGGGGGGCAGCGCCCTCCTGTCCCCTCAACTCCGTCACCTCCTTGCCGGCATCCACAGGTGTGTTCTTTCCCCTGCTCCCACAAAAGACTCCCACCCCTCCGCCTCTGAGTTTTTGGGGATACCCTTTTCCCCACAGGGCCCCCCCAAACTCTGCTGTTCCTCCTCATCAGAGCTGACTCGGTGACCTGGAACCCCCACAAGCTGTTGATGGTGGGATTGCAGTGCTCGGCATTCCTGCTCCGTGACAGCTCCGTAGGTGCCCCTCATTATGAATTCCTGCCCCTCGATGCCTCCTAGGCCCCCTCATTAATCTTAGTGCTCCCTGCCCCTCCTAGGGGCTCCTGCAGCGCTGCCATGGCGTGGGGGCCTCGTACCTGTTCCAGCGGGACAAGTTCTATGACGTGTCCCTGGACACAGGGGACAAGAGCCCCCAGTGCGGCCGTCGCGCCGATGGCCTCAAGCTCTGGATCCTCTGGAAAGCCGTGGGAAGCCAGGGGCTGGGACAGCGTGTGGAGAGGGCGTTCAGTGCCACTCGGTGAGCCCCGGGACTGGGGGAACACTCCAGCCTCCCAAACTCGGCTTCACCCCTTTGCTCCCCACAGGTATCTGTTGGAGCAGGTGAAGAGGAGGGAGGGATTCCAGCTGGTGATGGAGGTAAGGGTGATGCTGGAATGTGGGATGGGGGATATGGACACCTAAGAGTCCTGGAGGTTGGAATGCCATAGGTTTAAATCATCCTGGAGGTTTAACTCCTGGGGGATTAATCCCAAAGGTTTGAATCTCCAAGGTTTAAATTCCAGAGTTTTCAATCCCAGAGGCTGAAATCTCAGAGGTTTGAATTGTCCCATTTTAAATCATGGAGATTTAAATCCCTTAGGACAAATGAGATGTTTAAATCCCAGAATCTGAGATCCTGGAGTTTGGAATTCCAGAGGTTTAAATTATCCCAGGGGTTGAAATCCCAGAGGTTTAAATTCTGGAATTTTAATCCTGGAAGTTTCCATTTTGGAGGTTTAAATCCTGGAGGATTAAATTCTGGAGGTTCCAATTCCAGACAATTAAATACACATGACTGAATTCCTGGGGGTCTGAATCCCTGTCAAATTCCGGAAATTGGGTGAATGGCCATGATTTCCTTCCTCTTTCTGCAGCCAGAATTTATCAACCTCTGCTTCTGGTTCATCCCACCCAGCCTGCGGGGCCAGGAGAGCTCCCCAGAATTCTGGGACAAACTGGGAAAGGTGAGCCCAGAATTCCAAATTCCCCCACCACCACCAGTCCTCCAAATCCCAAAAAATCACCCAAAAATAAAACCAAAATCCTCCTGAAATCGTGCTTCCCCCTAGGTGGCCCCAGCCATCAAGGAAAAGATGATCCGGAGAGGCTCCATGATGGTGGGATACCAACCCCATGGATCCCACGTCAACTTCTTCCGGCAGATTATCACCAATCCTGCTGTCACCCGCCACGACCTGGACTTCTTCCTGGATGAGATACAGGAATTGGGATGGGATCTGTGAGCACTCCCAAAAACACCTGTGAAAGACCCCAAAACCTTCCCCCCACCCCTGAGGAAGAGGAGCAGAGCCTTGATTTCCTCCTCACATCCCAAAATTGGAAATGACCCCAAAATTCCATGCTTATGGAATAAAAGCGCATTTAATGGTCCTGATCTGATAATAATTTGATATAACCCCACCCTTGAAATGGGGTTTGGGGTGTAGGGGGTCCCTCAATTCCCCTGGAAGCTCCAGAGGAGGTTGTGGATTCTGGGATTAGGATGTAGTGGCCTTGTGACTCTCCTGACATTCCTACGACTTCTTGAAGCTCCAGAGGCTGGAATTTGTATGGAAGAGGATCTGTCAGCACCCAAAAAACTCTTGTGAGACTACCACAAAACCTGCTGCGTCCATCCCTGAGGAAGTGGAGCAGAGCCCAGACTTCCTTCTGGAATCTTTAAATCAGTAGTAAAGATGGATGTTCTCGGCGCTTGATCCCAAAATTCCACATTCATGGAATAAAACAGTATTTAATGGTCCCAATTTTATATTAATTTGCTATCACTCCCCTCCCCCAGAAATGGACTTTAGGGGTTCCTCAATTCTCCTGGAGGCTCTGGAGGAAGTCGAGGATTCCAGGATCGAGCTGGGCGTGCTCAAGGCAGGCTAGGAGCTGGGATGCTGTGGCTTCATGTCGCTCCCGGCGCTGCCATGCCCGCAGCATCTCAAAATTCCACAGGACAGGATTGCTGGGATTTTCCTCCTGGATCTGTTCCAGCCGGCTCCGCTCCAGCCCTAGATGCAGAATTCCCAACTCCTGCCACTCTCTTCCCAATCTTTGGGCAACTTTCATCAAATCCTTCTCCGTCAAACGCCGGGGATTCATGGGTGGAGCTGGAATCCCTCCAGCATCATGTCCTGAAGTGGGGTCCCCCCTCACATTGGGGGTGTCCCCGTTAGGTTCCCACGGAATTTTCTCCGGGATTTGCTCTTCCAGGGGCAGCTGGAAGCGCTGGATGAGGTCAAGGCGTCCGAGCTGCCGCAGGATCCCGGCGGTCACACCCAGGGAATTCCCCGGGAAGCGCTGGAGGAGGATCCGGCACAACTCGGGGCGCGATGCCGGGAGCAGAAGCCCGGCAGGAATTTGCTCTTCCAGCAGGAACTTCAGGTTCTGGAATTGCTCCTCCGGGAGTGCCTGGTGAACCTCCAGCAGCGTCGCCCGCTCGTCCCTTGCCATCGGGGCAGAAAATCCCGCAGGGAAATGGGGGTTACCCCTGGGACACACGGGTTGGGAGAGAGGAGTTACCATGCAGCCCAAAAAGTGGGGGGAAAAGGGGGCCACCCTAGGCCCCAAAAATTCGGGGTGGGGGTGGAAAGGGGTCACCGTGTGCTCCATAAACTGGGGTAGATGGGTCACCACCCACTCAGGGCTTTCCTGGTGCCCTCGGTGTCCCCACCCTGCCCCGGGGCTGAACCCTCCCAGTGTCTCCCTAGAACACCCCACCCTGCCCTGGGCCTAAGACTGCCGAGTATCACCCCAATGCCCCCCCAACCCTGGAGCTGGGTCTCCCCAGTGCCTCCCCATTCTTCCCTGGGCCTGGACCCCCGATGTCACCCCAGTGCCCCCACTCTGTCCTGGCTCCCCCCGATGTCCCTTCCGCTGTTCCCTCCGTGTGGCTAATGTCCTTTGTTCCGAGTGCCCACGATCTCGCGGCGCCCTCGGATTCCCGGATTCCCCCCGTTCCCTCCCTCCAGCCCCCGCTCTCCCCGCTCTCCCCGCGCTCCGTTCCCGCGCTCTCCCCGCTCTCACCGCGCTCCGTTCCCGCGCTCTCCCCGCTCTCCCCGCGCTCCGTTCCCGCGCACTCCCCGCTCTCCCCGCGCTCCGTTCCCGCGCTCTCCCCGCTCTCCCCGCGCTCCGTTCCCGCGCTCTCCCCGCTCTCACCGCGCTCCGTTCCCGCGCTCTCCCCGCTCTCACCGCGCTCCGTTCCTGCGCTCTCGGGGAGCGGAGCGGGGTTCGGCACGGGGCGTGGCCTCCGCTCCCGCCACAGCGGCTGCTCCGGCAGCGGCAGCGGGGCTGCTTGGAACGGACCTGGGGCCGTCCGGAGCGGCCTTTGGGGGTTCCAGGGGCGGTTCGGGGCTGCGAGGAGTGAGTCTTCGGCCCAGTGCCCAGACCCGGGTGCCGGAAGTGGCCCCAGTATCTTCCAATAATCCTCGATCCCCCCCAATCCTTCAGTCACTTCCAGTACCCTCAGTGCCCCCAGTCTCTCAGTCCCCCCAGTAACCTCCAATCCCTCAAACCCCCAGTATCCCCCAGTTCCCCAGTGGTCCCGTCAACCCCCAATCCCCTGATACCCCCAGTTCCCCAAGTCCTCCCAATGGTCCAGTCCTCTCAGTATTCTCCAGCCTCTCCATTCCCTCAGTTCCTCTCAGTAACACTGAGTAACCCCTCAGTAGTTCCTGCAATTCCTTCGTCCCTCTGTTATAAATTGTGACACGACAATTTGAAGTGTCTTAATTCAATAAAGCAATTTTATTTAAAATAGCAAGCGAGTAAGGCAGGCAAAGCACAGCGCTGGGCGGCCAGGGAGTCTCCTGCTCCACCAACGGCACGCAAAAATGTTCTGTCCCAACCTTCCTTTTATCCCCCCCCTTCTCCTTGCAGGCGTGACTCTCCAGATGTAGTCTGAGTCTGGTCGTTGTGATAGCTTCTAAGTCTCTTCTTTTGAGATACAGCAAGCAGACCAGATACACACACCCAGGACTCTAATCTCAACCTCCTTATCACCTTGTAAGCAAATAAGCATTTCAAAGACACACCAGTACATTCTTATGCAAACCAAGGTAAGCGAGCATATCACAGTGAACAAATGATCTTCCACTTATCTCACCTCCAGTATCCCCCAACTCACCACAGTCCTCCCCAGCATCCTCCAGTGCCCCCCAGGCCCACTAGTATCCTCCCAATTCCCCAGTTTTCCCCATCCCCCCAATACCCCAGTCCACCCAGTATTCCCCAATCCCCCCAGTAGCCACAGAATCCTCCAATTCCCCATTCTCTCCATTATCCCTGACACCCCAGTATCGCCCAATTTCCCAGTCCCTCCAGAAATCCATTATCCCCCAGTCTCTGCAGTCACCCCAGTATCCCCAAATACCTTGGTAGCCACCATATCCCCGTGCACCTCCCAAACTCCTCAGCATCCCCGAACCACAACCTCCCCAGTGTCCCACCCAGTGTCCCCTGCAATCAGACAGTCCTGAGCACCCCTCCCCGGACTCCCCCAAATCCATCCCACCACCGATGGTGGGAGTGTTTTATTGTTCCTTCCTCTTTATTTTTTGGGGGGTGGACTCCCGCCCGGGGGCGGGTTTAGGTGGGGGGTCGCCCGGGACGGATTGAGGGGATTCGAGACTTCCGTCTCCCCTGCAGCGCGCTGCGGCACTGGTGGCCGCGGGAGCCCTTCCTTCCGCCTCTGCCGATCCCTCTGAGCCCCTCGCCGTGCATCCCCCAACACCGAGAGCGAGCAATTCCCCCTCGCTCCCCTCGTCCTTTTCTTTTTCCGCCTTCCCTGCCCAGAGCCCCCGTGATCACTGCGGTGCGGGGGAAGGGCAAGGGAAAGCGACACCCCCCCCCCAAATATAGGGGTTCCTCCATGGGGGGGGGGGGGGGGGGGGGGGGGGGGGGGCTGTGGGGTGGGACGAGGGCAGTGCCGCCATTTCGCCGTGTGTACGGCCCCCAGCATCGGGAGGAGCACAGAGGACATTGGGGCAGGCAGGATCCCTCCCTTGGGGGCGGCAGCGACCCTCCCTTGGAGTGTCCTCGGGTCACCCCAGCTCTGTCCCTGCCCCCTCTCTCCCCCCCGGCAAGGTCCTTCCGTCTAGGGGACGGTGGCAATGGACGTGGGGGGGTGTCAGCCCCCCGAGACCCCCCTGGCCCCACGGATCCCTGGGAAGCCCCGCTGCTTGAGGGCCCCCCCACGGGTGAGACCTTTCCACCTCCCCCAAAGGAGACCTCTGGCCACTGTAATGAAATAGAAATTTTTGGAATTCACTTAAGTTAACAAAATTAATTAAGCGTTTATATTTTAGTTTGTAGAGTTAATGTGTTGAATTTTAAGCTTTTACTTAAAGGACCTCTGCCATAAGTACAAAAGGGCATAAGAAAATGCAGATTTCTGAAGCTGATTGCACAAAGAACAATGCCTCAGGATGCAAAGAACCCAGATAAGCTTCCCTGTCTCCAGGCCTATCAAGACTGACAGACATACACAGATAAGCGCCGAAGGACCAAAAGCGCACGGGCAGAGAGGAAGAGTTCAAAAGTTCATCCATGAAGAAGACCACGATCTTCAGCCCCAAGAGACCACCAAAGAATCCCTCAGGACCACCACGGCAAACCACACATGCCCAGAAGGGTGTGGACCTATTTGGCATGAGAGGTGAGGACAGGTGGGGCCAGGGGTTGAATATGCATAAAAAGTTGTGCAATGTACTGCATATGGAACACCTTTGTGAATAAAAGTGTGGGTCAGACCAAGGCTCTGCGCACAAGTTTTCAGTTATCTCATTTCTGCTGGGCACTGGCAATACATACCTACTTCATAACCACCCCAGATTGTGGAGTCTATTTATTTATTCTGCATATTGCTTCAGTAAGAAGTTCTGAGGGGGGGCCCTGGAATCGTGGAGGTGGGAGCTTTTTTTGGGGTCCACTAGGGATCTGCAATGGGGGGGGGACCCTGTCCCCATGGTACAGAGAGACCTCAAACCTGAGGGCGCAACCCGGGTCCTGGGGGGTCCCAGGGATGTGGGGAGGTTGTGGTCCCATGCTGTGGAGCCACCCTGATCCTAGAGTATGGAGTTGACCCCATCCCAGGGTAGGGGAATCCTAGGAATGGGTGACCCATTCCCATGGCACAGGGGTACCTCAATTCCAGTGTAAGGGGGGACAGAGATGTGAGAGAAACCTGTTCCCATTGTGTGGGGTACCCCAGTTCCAAGGTATTCCCATTTCCCATGCCCCAGGATACATGGGTGTCACATTCCTGTGGCCTGGGACCACTTCTAGGGTGTGGGGGTGTCCCAGTCCCATTGAATGGGGTACCCTGATCCTGGAGTATGAGGATTCCCCAATCTCAGGGTATGGGAATCCCAGGAATGTGGGGTTCCCTGTTCCCAGGGTATGGGGCTGTCCCAATTCCAGGGTAAGATGGTGCCCTGATCCCACATCTTAGGGATACCATAGTCCTGGGATGCAGCAATGTCTTATTCCCATGGAATGGCGGTATCCCAGTTTTGGGGTGCAGGGATGTCCCATTCACATGGAATGGGATACCCCAATCCCAGGGTATGAGGTGCCCTGATCCCAAGATATGGCGGCACCACAATCCCAGAGTTCAAGGTCAATATCGCCTGATTTGTGGGTGCAGGGTTCTAATCTCATGACATGGGAATGTCCCAGTATTGGAATGCAGGGTTATGGGAATGGGATTTTGGAGAATGCCCCAGTCACACCCTGATTTTGGGGTGTGAGAATGTCCCAAACCCACATATAGGGATGTCCCAGTATTGGGGTGCAGGGTTGCCGCAAACCCATGGTATGAGGGTGTCCTGATTTTGGGGTGCAGGGGGCATTTCTGGGTACCCCAACTCCATCCCTGGTTTCCAGAGGGAATTTTGGTGACACCACCCCTGGATTGTCCCAGCCCCTGGCCCCCCTTGCACCCTAATCCCAGACCCTTGTCTGGGTGGCAATGAGGGGCTTGGGGGGAAATGAACTCTGGCTTTGGAATATGATAGGGATGGGGGTAGGAAAAGGAAGGGAGGAGGTGGCAACAGGGATGGAGAAGTGGGAAATGGTATGGAGAAGGCTTAGAGGGGGTGGAGAAGGGGAAGAGGACATGGAGAATGGAAAGATGGGACGGAGCAGATAAGGATGGGAAAAGGAAAGGGAAAAGAGATTGGGAAAAGGGGAAGAGGGGCTAGAGAAGGTGAGAAAGCATAGGGAAAGGACAGTGGGAATAGAGAAGCTACAAACAGGATGGAGAACGTTGGAAAGGAATGGAAAAGGGGAAGAGAGGATGGAAAATGGGCAGAAGGATGAAGGTACCAGTGGGACCAGGGTGGGACAGAGGGCCTGGAGCAGGTGCCAGTTGGAAAGGGCAGGTGTCATTGAGAAGGGGCAGGCAGCAAGGGGTCCCAGGCCCCTGTGCCTGCCCTACCCTACTGGTGTCCACCTCCTTCTTACATAGCCCATCTTGGCCTGGCAACACCGGAAGCCCCCCAGGTCCCCTGTGGGGGCATCAAGTCCCCTGAAGGATCTGTTGAGGCCAGAAGGGGCCAGACTGCACCCCACTGTCTGTGGGGAGTGTGGGAAGGGCTTCAGCTGGAGCTCGGACCTGGCGTGGCATCACATCACTCACACCAGAGAGCGACCATTCACCTGTGGTGCCTGCGGGAAAGTCTTCAGCCAGAATTCCAACCTGGCCAAACACCAGTCCACACTGGGGAGAAGCCCTTCACTGCTGGGGCTGCAGGAAGAACTTTGGGGAGAGCTCAGTGCTGGTACAGCACCAGTGGACACACACCAGGGAGCAGGCGTACAGATACAGGGAATGTGGGAAGAGCTTTAGCGTCAGCTCCAACCTGCGGCGACAGCACCGTACCCATTGCCAAGAGTAGCTCCACCTCTGCCCTGAGGGACACTTTCTGGAACCCTGGCTAGCTCCGGAGGCACTGCAGGGAGCACGTGGTGTGAGGGGGAAGTGGAGTGGGCATGAGGACAGGGACACCTGGTTGGGGATCAGGACACCTGGATAGGGTTGAGACACATGGGTGAGGGTTGGGACACATGGAGGGGATAGGGGCACCATGATGAGGACACCAGGATGAGAATGGGAAGGAGGGGATGGGATGGGGACAAGGGACATCAGAGTCGGGGTGTTGGGATCGCTGTCTGCTCCAGGACAGTATAGGTGAATGGAGACAAGAGATCTCTGAAGGCTGCTCTTGGGGTATAAGGTTTATTAGG